GCTTGCTGAATTTGCACATTGGGACTCAAATGGCCGACGACGTCTGTAGTAGTTCGAGAAATGACTTCCGTTATTCAAATAAGGTGTCAAAACCTATGGGATTCAAGGGACAACGCTAGCTAACTGTGTGTTAACCTGTTGGCTTTATAGTCAGCGGAGCGGAAACATTTCATTAAATTATAGCCAGCAAGGACAAGATTCCAGAATTGCTTTGTACATTCATTAGATTCAGTCCGAGTTTTTAAGAAAGAGTGCAACACTTTGGTCTTTCCTTGAGGCCCTTTTATAAAGTGTGGGCCTACTAGTGTGTATCTAAGATCCTGTTGTAGTAGCTGCTCGGGCAGAAGCTCAGTTCTGCCGGTTCCTCCGGTTCTTCCTCCCCATTATGTTCCTCCTCCTCCTCCTGCTCCCCCCCCCCCCCACCCCAACCCCCTCTCTCGTAACCCCAGGCTGCGTGACCATTCCTCCATCAATGAGGGCAGAGACACAACACTAAAACCCCCGCCGAAATATATGCAGACGCAACATGCTGGGGTTTCCATGGTTACAACTTGTTGCGTTGTCGTATCCTGAGACGGATACCTTTTGTTGTCGCGTTCATGTGTACATGTTTGCTTGGCTGGTTGTGTCGGCGTGTGGATGTACGCACTCGGTATCCGTGGCCTGCAATGATTGATGTGTCTTTGGTGTGTTGGAGGGTCTTGGACTGTGATTATGTGGTTTGATTTGGTTCCATTGACTCAGTTGCTCTATTGATTTTAAAGCATTCATCGGTGGCCTTTTCGGCGATGCCGGGACACAACTAGGACTAACACACAGACTCAGGCAGGCAGGCACGCACTCTTGCTCGCTGTTTCATAAACAGACCCACATATGCACTCAAACACACATACACACAAACAGACTCCTAAAAGCCAGAGCTAAAAGCTGAGAAAGAGAGTGAGGGAGAGTGACTCAGGTCTTGGCCTTGCTCCATGTTCATCAGTGGTTGTACTGCTCGCTAGGAGGAATTGTCTTCACAACAACACCCCCCCCCCCTCTAATAAGACGCCACTGCACCTCTTAAAGATCCACTTCCTGCTCTATTATTTTGTCCTTTACCCACTACCAGCATACACTGCACAACACTTTTATCCAACGCAACTTGCAGTGCATTCAGATGCGGACGTAGTCATCTTGCTCAAGGCTGCCTACAGTTAAGCTGTGGACATTGGGGATCAATCCCAGTACCTTCCTAACCATAACACTGTCCTACACACTGGGCCTTGATTCATTTCCCATCAGGATACTGAGCGGTTAAAACCTAGCACGCAGCTAGAGAAAGTGTGTGTGTGTGTGTGTGTGTGTCTCTGTCTGTGTGTTTCTAAATATAGTGCAGCAATATTGGCAGACCAGAGGCAGCGGTCCGTTCTTTTGACAGTGAGTGAGCGAGGGAGGCAGAGCAAAGGAGTGGGTGAGAGAGTATGGCCCAGCAGTGATGCTCGGCCATTTTTAGAACACTGTTATTCAGCGTTAATTCTGCCCTTCAATATTTAAACAGGAGGAGCTTCAATCTCAGACTTCATCCAACTGTCAAGAGATGGTCTACTCACCAGTGTACACCAATCTCTATTTGATACATATTTTGTACTGTTTTATACTTCAGAGGCAGGGCGGCATCAAGTCATGTCTCAATTTAATATTTACAAAAAATGCTGCCCGCTGAGGTGCCTCGGACTTGGCTGGGTTTGAAGTCAACAGCCCCGTTTGTGTTACAAATATAAGTACAAAAATCAAAAACATATTTGAATGCTTGAAGGGAAATTGTTATTTTATCCATAGTAGTTTGTGGAATCACAAACCGACCTATTTACATTTTTAAATGATTTAGCAAAGATTTTATTCTCATAAGGTATATTTTGCTTTTTCCATCCAACTGAGCTTGAATATGATAAAGGGAGCTTCCTTACTGGTTATTTAGACTAAGAGTGTTCTACTCCCAGCAAAATGGTACCAGTGTTCGAACCCCAATGTCCATAGTCTACCTGTAGGCATCCTTGCGTAACCCCTACCTGCTCTTCCTAATTCCTAAATCATCTGCAAATTCACAGTAAATCATGTTTAATTAAGGGTTCTGCTAAAAATGATTCAATTAGAGATTGTTTTTTAAAGGAGCTTGTTACTCTTGTGTGGGCACTGTGTGGGCGTCCACCATCTGAAACTTAGACGGTGGACGTCTTTCTGCCAAGCTTAAAGTTTATGAACAGAAATCTTGGTTCCCAACGACCAGAGCTACTTCACCTGGTGCCCTGCAAATTAATACCCGACATTCCCTACTAACACGCTATCGAAGGGGGAAATTAGGGGGAAATTGTTTGCACCACCGATCTGAGAAGTGGTAATTCACAGAGGAGGGAGAGGTCACATGGTTCGTCATGGCAACGCTGCTCAGAGATTGACAAGAATGTGCGTTTCCATAGTGATGATGTTGTTTGTCAGAATGTAGGTTGAGGAAGAGAAAAATAAAAGCAGGCAGCGTCTTAAAACATAACATTTTACAACATGAAAATGTTCACGTTATCTCAAAGGTTAAATAAATGTTATACAATTATCTAGTGGTAAAGATTACAGTAACATCATACAGTATATGTGTGCTTTACAATTAACCCGCCGCAATTCATCCATCGCCATCTATTATTTAGATGCTTCAAATTGGGGCATGCATAGTTAATTTGCGGTATCAACAGAATCTCCATTAACATGCAATCAAGGTTCTCTGGGGAGAGATGCAGGAGCAACGTGCCCCGATGCAGTGCAGGTGCATAAAGCAATGCAAATAACATGCACATGCACTGGAGCTCCCTGGTCACTCTTCTATGCATTCCTCTATTCATGTATTTAGGTCAGTGATTCAGGTAACGATGTTGCACTCTGTGAGCTATGCTTTTGAGTCTCGAATTTGAGTGTTTTTGGTTTGGATAGTAAATGTAATATTTAATGTAATACTTTGCACATCGGATTCACTAAAGTGATTAAAATACACGTTCACATTCAAACTCGTCGTGGCTTTCTTCCACTTTTTACAACAGGGGCTTCTTTAAATAGTTTATTGTATTTTGTTGCTTAGCTACTGAAACCCTGCTTTTAAAAGATTAAAAGACACTTTTTACTACTTAGTTTGTACATTAAAGTGCTACACAATGTGTGCTGTCAATGCTAAATTTGTTTTTTCAATGCTTAAAATAGATGTGTTCAACCACTGAGGAAATACATTTTCTGAATATCAGCATGAATATTCAGTGGTGTACAATATTAAGTGTGTTAAATATCTTATGCAATTAGTCTGTTCATTAGTATCCTTTATTATACTAATGGACAAAAAAGCCATTTTCCTGTTACTATCCAGTCTTAATCTCTACATCTTGCTCTGAAAACCCTTAGTTTGTTGTTAGTGTTATAGCATTGCAAATCTGCAACAACGTTGATTTGTTTTATGTGTATGAGACAAAATATCACCCGGAGAATGGGGCCCCATTCTAACAAATGGAACAGGGGGTCTCAATGTCTGACAACACAAATCACTCATGCTTACTATACGACATATCTGGCCAGCACAGTGGGGGGAAGAGTCCCTGTGGTGCATACCTGGCAAGCCCAGTTACTCGTGGTGAGAGAGGTGTTGTTTTGAAGAGTTGGCAAATTCTCAGACCCTGGAGATATTTTTGAGACTGGCTCTAAGCCTGAAGATATCAGACAGATGTCAGACAGTCTCAGTGATCCCCCCCCCCCCCCCCCTTGTGATTTACCCAGACATATTTGGCAGCCCTGCATCGGGTCTGGAAGCCCCGAACAGCTCCCAGAACAGGGAGGGGTGGCCAGACTAGACCTGGCAACGTAGCACAACTATCAATCAAGGCCCAGGTTAAAACAAATGCTACACTCCTAACTCCTATACAGTTACTCACTTTCTCTCTGTCTTTCCCCCCCCCTCCCCCTGTCTTTGTCTTTCTTGGACCTTGCTGCTGCAAGGCCCCTGAACACACATCACCCCTGTGCTTGTCAAATTACACTGCATTCAGGTTCATTTTAGTTCATTTTAGAGTTCATTTGAAAAATTCTGGTCCTCACTGACGGGCCTTACGTGGTCAAGCCTCCACTAAATATCCTGGACTCACTGTACCCTGCACTTCACGTCGGTCTCTGAGGTCCTCTGACCAACACCTTTTAACTGTTCCTTGAACTCATTCTAAAACAAGAGGTGGTCGTGCCTTTGGGGCAGTGGCACCTATAGACAGGCTTTTGGGTCGCACTAAGCTTGTTGTGTTTTTGTGTGTTTTTGTGTGGTATGCTATTGTTGTAGTGCACTCTACTGTAGAGCACAGACTTGTCTGTGAAAGCTGCTGTATAAATACACGTTACTACTTTCGTTCTCTCTCTCCCTTTCTCTCCAACTCTCTTTCTCTCTCCCTCTCGAGCAGCAGCTGAGTGCTAATGTCTTCACGTTGTGGAGCGACATTAGCAATTCACTATTTATAATCAGTATAATATTGTGATTCAGTTTTCACAATTATGAACTCTCTCACAATTGAATATGTTGGCTGTCGTTAGCCAAGAAATTGTGTACGCGATAGCGTCTAAAAGGAGCTCATGTTAATGAGCCTTGATCAAATCAGGCTGCCTGTGAACACAATCTGTAAACAAACAAAGGTCAGTTCATCCAGGCATCAAAGACACTATGAGAAACAGCCCTTCGATTTCAGGCACTTTTCCAAGTACCTCATTTTCAGATACTATTATTTTCAGTTACTTCCCAGGTTCCCCTGGGGGGGGGGGGGGGGGACACTTCTTCAAGGGAAACCGTCACATTTGGCTATTTTCTAATATGAGAGTACTGCTTCACAATTTGTGTGTGTGTGTGTGTGTGTGTGTGTGTGTGTGTGTGTGTGTGTGTGTGTGTGTGTGTGTGTGTGTGTGTGTGTGTGTGTGTGTGTGTGTGTGTGTGTGTGTGTGTGTGTGTGTGTGTGGAGAGCTCAATTGATAGAGCATGGCGTACGCACCGCCAGGGTTAGGGGTTCGATTCCCCCTGGGGTGGGGTGACCCACACTTACAAATGTATGCACTCACTCATGGCATCATATAAACTTTGGATAAAACTGTCCAGTAAATTACACGTTTTATGATCTGAATAATCAGTTAAATGTGTGCCCAAGGGCTCATCATTTTGAGAGAGAGAGGGAGAGGGGGGAAGAGGGTGGTAGGGCGAGGTAGTGAGAGATAGAGGGGTAAGTGATGGAGAGTGGTAGAGATGGTAGAGAGTGAGGGAGAGAGTGGTAGGGGTAGATAGTGATGGAGAAAGGAGAAAGGGAGAGAGTGGAAGGGAGAGGTAAAGTGAGAGATGGAGGGGTAGACAGTGATGTAGAAAGGAGAGAGAAACAGAGGGGTAGAGGATAATGTGAGAGATGGAGGGGTAGACAGTGATGTAGAAAGGAGAGAGAAACAGAGGGGTAGAGGATAATGTGAGAGATGGAGGGGTAGACAGTGATGGAGAAAGGAGAGAGAGAAACAGAGGGGTAGAGAGGGTAATGTGAGAGATGGAGGGGTAAAGAGTGATGGAGAGAGAAACAGAGGGGTAGAGAGGGTAATGTGAGAGATGGAGGGGTAGTGAGTGATGGAGAGAGGTAAAGAGAAAGAGAGAGAGAGAGAGTAGATTCCTGACTGAAACAGGGATCCTGGTGGTTGTGGAGGTGGACATTGGAGCTCTGCCATGCTGCAATAACAGTGCTAGACGAGAGCTATCAGGACCATGGAAAGCGTCTTCCACAAGCGTGTGCAACCACAGTGTGCCCACTGGAGTCCCTTTATCTATTGCTGTTCCTCCCGTAATGTTATACCAGGCGTTGTAACCGGGTCGCTGTGTGAAACAGAAGAGAGAGAAGATTAGTAGAGAGAAAGAGTGAGAAGTGATAATCGTGTATCTGTGTGCTTGCTTGCTGTCGATTGTATCTGGTGTCTCACTATATAGTTTGTTTCTCAAAGGTAAGGCCTGTGTGTGTGTGTGTGTGTGTGTGTGTGTGTGTGTGTGTGTGTGTGTGTGTGCGTGTGCGTGTGTGTGTGTGTGTGTTTTAGCTGCTCTGTACCTCTGCCTTGCCCTTGAAGTGACCGAGTAGCAACATTAAGATGCCACTACAGAGAGAAGGAGCAAGAGCGGTAGAGAGAGGCAGAGAGAGGGGTGTAGAGAGAGCGAGAGTGCGGAGGGAGTCGTCTCAGTTCCCATGTGTTTTGCAGGTTGCACTTTTGTGTGATCTGCTGTATCTGTGTCCCTTGCCTCCTGTGCATTATGGGTAACAAAATGCACCACAGCACATGCACACCTGTATGGAGTATGAAGCTTGGCCGATATTTAGAATATCATTACTTACTGCAGCTGATATGTCAGATACTTAAGAAGTGGCCTTCTATGTCAATATCCATATTTAATGACCTTGCTTTACATTGCATTGCGTCACCCTAGAATATATTTCTATTGAATAGTTGTCTTTATAGCAGTGCTTGTGGTGGTAAACAGGCTACATTTTGCATTAACAATGTATGTAAGTTAATATTACATGTCCCAGCTGTATATACAGTAGCTGTATATTGTACTGTATAGGAAGCCTATAGCTTTGGATTGTTGCTGCTGCTGTTTACCTCTGTTTCTGTGTGTGTGTGTGTGTGTGTGTGTGTGTGTGTGTGTGTGTGTGTGTGTGTGTGTGTGTGTGTGTGTGTGTGTGTGTGTGTGTGTGTGTGTGTGTGTGTGTGTGTGTGTGTGTGTGTGTGAGAATAGTGCAATGTAGGCAAACCGAGGGCCAGTGTTCAGCAGCTAATGCTGCTAACTGCGCCACATCCTCCATATGCACACACACACACACACACAGACTTAGCCTCAACTTGGCTGAACAATACAATACAAGACAGAATATGCCCCCCCATCACTGCAGCAAAGTTGACAACACTAAAGATCACCTTCTGAGGTTTACAAGTTGAGTTTGACACATTTTATGTTCTAAGTTAGTTAATAATTCTACATTTAGCAATTAAAAAGAGTTAAAAGTAAACCATTTTTTAATTTCATGCTGCATTAAGCAAACATCAATTACCTACCTAGGCTTGAACATGTCTATGCTTTGACTCATGAATTCAACAATAATTATTATAACTTCATTAATATTGCGCCTTTAAAAAAGTGCAGTTTGACAACATACATGGCATGATAACATCAAAGCAAAATACCCTAGCAAGAGGATGGTGGATGAGAGTAGGGTGGATGAGGGAGAAGGATGGAGAAGGGAGGACGGAAGGGAGAAAGGTAGAGGTTTCAGGAGAACAGAGGATGGAGGAGAGCGATAGGATGTTTAGCAGAAAGAGCTCAGATGACCAAGACGACAAGATGTCTCTTTGTGGAGAGTCTGTCTGACGGCCACTGTGCTATCACTTCCATACAGATATTATCTTAAACCTGTGGTCTGTTAATGGCCCTGCATAGTGAACGATGCGTAAGGAAATACTAGCAGTGTCAAGATATTGCTGTGGCTGCCCCAGTTTGGTTGGTCTCTTGGGCTGTGTTGGTATGGAATCAAAGCCAGTACTGGAAAACCCTGTTCTTCCATCCTTTCTATCTGGACATCAATTATCCTCAACCTCTGATACATGATTCACCCGTGTTTTTTTTACTTTAATGGTCATTAAATGGGAGTTACATTGGAAACCTGAAACAATGCACAAGGCAACATGATTTGAGCGATACTAAAGACTTACTTCAGGGTTTAGGGTAACCACAGGCAACCATAATAACAGCATTGGATAAACAAATCTGGATAACTACGCTTTTCCGAAATCAATGTCCCCTTCAGACGGGTAGTAGACTTATCTTCACTAGTCTAGTCTACTACCCGTGCCCTGGTACATAAAAATAGCAGACCCATAATTAGTGTTAAGTATGAGCGACACGTGTGTTTGTCCTATGATGACACCGCTGTGAAATGGGTCCATTCCCTCCCTTACTGAGAGGGTTTCTAGGGGTTTGGTCCGCACTAGGCGACCCCCTGCCATACGAGGTCAACGCCAGCCACCACAGCGACAATGTACCCTCGACCTAGGGCTGGGCGACATGGCCAAAAACTTGTATCCCAATATTGATAATTTAATTGAGTGATATAAGAATTTCCCCAATGTGGGATTAATAAAGTTAATCTTAATCTTAATCTTAATATCTCGCTAACAAGTAATATATATCACGATATAGCATGTTTTCTGGTTATTCAATAAATAAATAGTCTATATAAAATGACCACATGGTGAAGTCTATTTTTGTATAGGCCTACTCCTGTGTGAATTAAATACTTGACAAATGAAAAGTACTGAGTATTTTCTCATTTTCTTCATCACTTTACTGTAATGCAGCCTTTTAAAACCAGGAAAAGACGACACTTTTGCCATATCACGATATTACGATATACAAAATCTAAGACGATATGTAAATATCCTGATAATCGATATAATATTAATATGCCCTACATGCCACCAGTGCTAACTACTTGGTCTTAGCATTTAGCATCAGGGTTGGAACAATATACTTCCTTCCTCCTCTGCTCCGTGTGTCGCGTTGTGCTCTTATCTCCCTGACCGGCAGGACATGATGAATGAGCTGACATCTACAGCCGTGCTAGTGGGAATGCTACGCAGGATTATCTGTGGTATATCTTGCTAGCTGGGCTATTTGGTCCTAAGGAGTGTGCGACATTCAACATGACGAGGAACAATATTTTGAATGGTATTATCCCTCTCCTCCCATCGTTGACTTTGTGTTTTAATACTGCATCACCTTCATGCCAAACCCACAACCAACATGAAGTAAGTGTATGTGTGTGAAAGATGACCATAAAATCAAGGGTACCTTTGTGAAGTTCTTTTTGTATCCTAGCTATTTACTGTTGTTCATTCATCTCTCTCTCTCTCTCTCTCTCTCTCTCTCTCTCTCTCTCTCTCTCGTCTAACCTAACCTGAAGGCGTCCTTGAGCAAGATGTGCTCCCCACCTGCTCCTTAATGACATGTATCTGAAATCAGTGTAAGTCGTTTGGATAAAAGCATCTGCTAAATAGTAATGCTATAATCAACCATATTAGAGTAATACCCTTTTATGATATGCTTTAAATGTAGGATTGATTTCCAATGTGCTGTGCGGCTGAGTTAACCCCTGGCAACAGCGATGGGTGTCTAGGGTCTTCAGAGGGCTTCGGTCGATCCTGCCCTGAGCGGATCAAAGTTGGTTATAAAAAGCAATAAATCTACTAGGATGTAATTCACCACCCTCAGATTTATGCTCTAGCCCCTGGGGGTGGGGTGGGGGGGGGGGGGGGGGGTGAGAAATGACCTGCCCCCCCACGCCAGACGAAAGGTCAATGTAAATCAATGTGTGTGTGTGTGTGTGTGTGTGTGTGTGTGTGTGTGTGTGTGTGTGTGTGTGTGTGTGTGTGTGTGTGTGTTACGCGCATGTCCAAGCGTATAGAAACGCACAAGTGCTGCTCTGTTCCAGTGAAAGTGATTCATGTTCTGACGGGGTTTCAACATCAGATAATCCCGTCTGTTATTAGCCATTTCCCTACAGTTTGGAGTTGTGCATCTATTCTAAATTCAGAGTTCAATAGAAAAACTCTCACATTTACATTTAGTCATTTAGCAGATGCTTTTATCCAATGCGAAAAAAAATTGACAACCAAGCTTCTTAAAAAGTAAAGAGTAAAGAAAAGTTTAGTATATTTTCTGTTTTTGGCAAATGTCTTTCATTGTTCTTATTATAGTCTAGAGCAGGGGTGTCAAAATCAATCTATGCAGGAGCCACATCCAAAACTTAATCCTAAACAGCTTTGAGGGCCATATATACAGTATGTATATATATATATATATATATATATATATATATATATATATATATATACTCTTATAATGAATACTCTTATAATGAATACCACAGGAGGTGGTTCAGTAAGTAGACCTATTTAATCAATCAATTAACAAGAAATAAATTACTAACTTGTGGTGGGAACGGTAAAACCGTTCCTTTTTA